GGAGGGATCTACTCTCCCAAATTCAGGAAGTCCCTCCCTGTCCCCCCTCCATTTTGCTTTCCTCCTTGAGCCGCCACTGATAATGATAAATTAAGTAAATCACGTTTATGTTTGTGAAATCAAAATGCTAACTAATGTTTTGTGTGCTCCCTATCTCCATAGTCCTGTTTGATCGTAAATTAGACGGTATTATTACCACTCACAATAGTGTAGTTGCAATATTGCTTACACAAAAGTGAAATTCAAAAAGAGGAGAAAAGCAAAAACCTCTAAATTGATTTTAAAAGTACTGTACATGCAAAAAGACTAAATTAATGACTGTTTTAAGTTTGTTATTTGTTTTTCATGGTTCGAATTTTGAATATGTCACAAGCTAATCAGTAGATAATAAATTATTATTTTCATGAATGTTTTGCACGAAATATATAAGCGGGCATAATTATGACTAAAAGGATAATTTTAATAACTTTAATGATGAGTATTTCAGTAGCAGATTCAAGGGCCCACAACCCCTATTTGTTTTTTTTTTCGAAATTTAAAAGTGGAGAAAAATGAAAATTATATTTAAATTCAGTCTGAGAGGGCCATTTCCGACCAACTAGAGGTGCCATAATCACATGTTGGGGCTGAGGTAGTCTTCACTTTCCATCTGTTAAAGTCTCTCTCTGGGCACAGCTCTATTTCAAATTACTGGATCCGCCACTGGATATTATGAAAATTTCGTATGGAAATAAATGTTAATTGCATTGCTTAAAATCAATTAAAAGGCTATAGGCGCCAGAGCTTCCGGGTGCTTCGCCCCCCCTGGTCCCAAACCAAGGCTTGGGCTTACAGCCCGCGGCTTTATTTTTCATTTCTTCCCCCCCCCTTTTAACCACAGATCAACGCCCTTGCCTGTTTACAAAGTCAGCGTAACACACATACACACCGCCACTGGATATTATGAAAATTTCGTATGGAAATAAATGTTAATTGCATTGCTTAAAATCAATTAAAAGGCTATAGGCGCCAGAGCTTCCAGGTGCTTCGCCCCCCCTGGTCCCAAACCAAGGCTTGGGCTTACAGCCTGCGGCTTTATTTTTCATTTCTTCCCCCCCCCCTTTTAACCACAGATCGACGCCCTTGCCTGTTTACAAAGTCAGCGTAACACACATACACTCTAACATAAAGTACTCTGCTGATTGCAAATGTTCCTATTGTTAATAGAAACCAAAACAAGAGAAGATGTGAGATCTATTTTTGAGCTTTATTAGCAAAAGAAAAATCAGCAAATATTTATTATATCTGAATTTTTTTATCAACATTTTTAAAACTTTTTTTTCTTCCGTTGAATTTCCTTGAATTCTCCTTCCTGGCTAGACAGCATGTGATATATTTCTTTCACTCGTTGTTTCCTTTCCGCATCTCTGTTTAACAAAATAAAATGATAATGAAATGGAGAAACAGAATTAAAAAAGAAAAACAAAACTATATTCCTATATTCCCAATCACACCCATCCAACAGCGAGTTCTCTAAAAATTAAGATGCTTAATCAATAATACTAACTTAGACAATGGAGGTGTTTGTAGCATCTTACCCACCAAGAAACAATCTACTAAGGAAAGCCCAACTATCAACTGTTTGGTGTCATTATCACTGTTGCCTTAATTATGATTATCATCTTAATTATCAATGTCACTAACATTATTAATTATTCTTATTGTCAAAACGTTTGTGGTCCTTAAATATAGTATTGTTAGATTTAATCTATCTAAAAAGTAGAAATAAATAATTTTTAAAAATGTACGTCTTTATTTTTGTTCCTACATATTGGATAGATAGATTACATTTCAGAAGGTAATAACATCAATAATAATGATTATGCTAATAACGATGTTGATAATGATGACTTACCTTTCCATCTGTTCTTTGAGTTTCTGGCGAGCCAGGAACTGCGAATCTTTCCTGACTTCTCGAACCGCTGACTTCATTGCCTTCTTGTGTTTGTTCAACAGTTTCTTTTTCTCATTCATTTCCTTATCTTCGTTTTCATGATATTTGCGTGTGGGATCATATC